GGAAGCAAAATGATTATATTCAACTAAGACAGTGGATAGTTTGATTTCAGAAAAAAATGTTGCTAACAAAATGTTATGTTCGCATGTGCCATCAATTTAAAGCTCTCAAAGACACATGGGGGTGAAGGGAAAAGGATGTCTTTTTGTACATTACTATTAATTTACTAAATATTTTTCTTTCTGATACAGTGGGACAAGTTAATTACTAAACTTAAGTTATGTACTAGAGGGGAAAAACATAAGTTATGATAACATAATGCTGCTAAATATTTGTTTTCCAGTATTGTTATGAGTATCAACAATGCAGCCTTATCTTCACAATATATAAATCCTGTTTAACACATAACCAAATTTAAGACAGCAGAATTTCATGCATTAAACACTCTAAACAGTACACAGTATTTACTTGGCTATGTCTTGTGTTCTGAACAACAGTCTCTGAGGATTATGTCTTAGAATCAATGCTCTATTGATTTTACTATCAATGAACATTATGGCTCACATGACTGGCCATTTTAAAGGAAGATAGCTTCTATTATAACCCACTTTTTAGAATATATACTGTTGAAAGATAAATCACTGCTTTCTATAGTAATTAAGCACTGTATTTGAAAAATAAAGCTATCACGATGATTTTTAGGGTTACAAAGTGAACAATGATCCCAGAAACAACAAGGAGTCTGGTGGCACCTTAAAGACTAACAGATAGTCTTTAAGGTGCCACCAGACTCCTTGTTGTTTTTGTAGATACAGACTAACACGGCTACCCCCGATAAATGATCCCAGAGTTACTCAAAAGCCTCCCATAAATTTTTAATTTTGTTTTCCACATTTAAGACATTGTTTAATTAAGAAACATACACATTACTCAGTAAAGTACTTTTTTTCCCCAAAAAAATTAGCAGCTATGAAGGATAGTCAATCAAAGCATGTGCAGCAAGGAGAATCATATTCAAAATTGAATTACAAAGCATTCTTCCTTTATCAACCTATTTTAAATTACTACTCTTTACCTCTTCTTCCCACAAAATTTCATTTGATCTATCCGCACTATTTTTTCCTGTCCTCAGATGTGTGCAAGTACACACAATGCAACTTGTATATGGCATATGAGAGTGCCTAGCAATTTTGTGTGCTTTGAAATAGTCAGCAATTTACAGTGGGAAATAAATACCAGGAAGTAACAATCACAGCACAAGAAAGTAAACTTCATAATGAAAGTAAAACTTTCATTAAAAATATTAATTTAAATTTAGAACCACCATTAAGAAACAGTTGTGAAAGTGTAATAATTTCACCTACCTATGATGATTCATGTTGTAGTTTTTAGAACTTTCTAGAATTTACTATAGTGCAAGAAAATCAATTAATTTTGGTAGCTAATTTCAACATTACAGTATAATTAATCTATTTTACAATCATAAAATGTTTACCATTTTTTTAAAGCCCAGGAAACTTCACATTTCACACATTACTTCAGAGATCTGATGTAGCTTACAAAAAGAACGATAAACAAGTCTGAAGTAACGAGATCTTACAATTTAAAATCTAAATCTTAGAAAAAGCATCACTGAAGCTTTCCCCTCCCAGAAACTATCAAAGGCAACATGTAATGCAAATATGGTCAAGAACACTTTATATTTTCCATATGCTATGTATAAAGTCAGTCAATTACACAAAAAAGTGCTAAGGTATACTCATCATTTAGTGTTAGAAGGATGCTTATTTTGATTCAGACACTAATGCTTGCTGTAATGAAAATCACAATGTTACAGAAAGTGGGGTGTATAAACCAAAAGCTAGTTAAAAACACTAAGGTTTAAATGTACTGTTAAGACATTTGATTAGATGTAGTGAATGGAAAAGTTTGTTCAAAATTACACACATTCTCTTTACAAATTAAAATCAAAGTAATGACTATTAGCAAGTTTAGCTTATAATTTTATCCAATAAAAATCTTACTGGGTGAAATGCACTCCAGCACAGAAAGCCTATGCAAGATCCTATCTAGCACATAACACTTATATGTGGATTAATTTACATCAAGGGTTCTGGGCACTGTACTACTATGTATACAGCACGTACATAAAGTAAATAATATTTTAATGCATATTATATGCACATTTAAATTATTACTATTAAAATCAAAAAAGGAAAATATGAAGTGTTAATATGCTAAAGTAGTACATTCTACTGCCAAGAGTGAACCTTTCTGGAAAAGACAAACGGGGTTTTTATTTTTTTTTCTTATAAAAAATTACCACTACTAAATTGTAATACTCTAAGGCACGTTTATGCTCCAAAATGAAAGAGAATAAAAATATAAATTATGCCTAACTCCATGTGTTAAAGTAAAATAATTTTTTTTTAACTGCTAAAAGGAATTACTCCACTGATTTGTTCTGTGAAGTGTAACTATTGTTTCTGTATACACACAATCATTGTCCCAGACACGTAGGAAGAAAGACAAGATGCAAGGGGTGTGGTTTAATTAGGCTGCAACTTCATTAACTTAATTCATCTGGGAACTACCTGGCAGTAACTCACACAGTGCAGGTCATCATTGCTTCTTCAATTTTTCCTCCTATTTGAGGGCTGCCATCAGCCCTCACTGATACCTGGTCCTAGCCCATTGCTGGGACCTTACCATCTTCCCCTTCCATGAACCTTGAAGGGGGTTGGTCTCACTGTACTAGACATTAGAAGCCCCAAACCCGTTCCTCAGCTACTTTAGGAGATACCATCCCCTAACATGCACTCCCGCTTTCAGTTTATCAGTGAACCAGACTTTCTATGGAACAAGTACCAGCACCAGACACCTGCCACCTGCTAAATTCTGTAAGCTTGAACTATACCTCCTGGCCTATCTGACCAGGTCCTGAGCTGCTGTGGGGAAGCAAAAAAATCCACACTACCTGCCAGCCAATCTGACGACTTAAGGGCAAAATTTCTTTCCAGCTCCCCAAAAGGCAACTAGTGTAATGCCCACAGCAGGCCAAAAAAACCACCACCTCCTATGCTAATCCTAGGGCTAGGACGGGGGAGTTGCTAAGAGAGAGAGATCAGCTGGAGTGACAGTACTTATATACTCTCTCCCAGGTACACAAGGGACAATGGCTTACCTGAGCACCATTGCTCAGCCCACCACTCATGAAATGCCTCCCCCAAACCATCAAAGGAGTAGGAAGACTCTTAGAGGGGTGACTATCCCTTTTTCTCCACTGCTCCAGACCTTTAAGGTTGCAGGGGGAACATGTGTTATCTGGCCTCAGGCATGTCCCTTTAGAGGATTGATTCACAGCATGATTAGTTGAGACTTGCATCAAGGAAAAGCTAGTTACCTATGAGTTGGTTGTGCCTTCAGAGGTATGAATAGTGCCTCTACTTACGTATGTATCGGTCAGTTCAATTTTTCAACTCAGTCCCCAATCCAAATAATAAAGGATTCTTGAAGAAGAGACTGGACAACTAGATCTTACACTATAGATTGCATACTATTTCTAGAAATCTCTTCAGGTGAACACCACCCTTTCACCTATAAAATGGCTACTCACTGGGGGGAGGGACAGTTCAGTGGTTTGAGCATTGGCCTGCTAAACCCAGGGTGGTGAGTTCAATCCTTGAGGGGACCACTTAAGGATCTGCGGCAAAATCAGTACTTGGTCCTGCTAGTGAAGGCAGGGGGCTGGATTCAATGACCCTTCAGGGTCCCTTCCAGTTCTATGAGATAGGTATATCTCCATATATTATGTTATATTATTCATACACACACGCTCTAAGAGACAAAAATATCAGGAAGGCCCTGTTCATATGAGAAAATTGTTTGTAATGTATCAACTTAAGCTAACCTGATACAAGGCTTCCTTAAAATGAAATAAAATTTTCACATGAAGGGGCTGCACCAATTTCAATATATCAATATCTAAAACGGTTTAGATAAATGGGTACAATTTTCTCAGGTAGACAGGCCCAAATACATAATAGTTACAAGCTACTGAATCACAATTACAAGTGAAGCAAGATCATGGGGGAGGGAGATATGGGGAAATTCCTAAGGAACTCCAAAGACAAATCTCATGATAAACTCCCTCAACATTAAACTATGAAGAAATAGAAAATACATTTAAATGATGTTACCCATAAAGCAAGAAGACATAAGATTTCAGGCTAATTCATACTTTTGGAAACATTTAAAAATAGATACTGACCCCCTCCCTTTTACCCCCTCCCCACCCCCACCCGTTGTTAAACTTCCTAACTTTCCTTGATCTATGACTCCAAGTTGAAATTCCACAGAGGGAGGCAGAGTAGAAAACATACACAATCTAAAAAACTCCCTTAAACACATTTCCATGACTTGTTCAAAATAGAGGATTACCAGACAGAAGATAATCTCTGCTATGAGACATGGATTCCTGCCAAGATTTCTACAAAGCCAAAAGCCTTCAAGAGAAGGTCCTGAGAATCCCTGTTTAGAGAGTTGTAAACCTTAAGATACTTTACTAGAACTCCTGTGCTGAGAGCATGACTCTTTCTTTAGCCAAGTTAACCTGATAATCATTAGTTCAAGTGGATATCCTAAAACCAGATTATATATACAGGCACATTACAATCCTTTGGAAAGCAGTCCAAACAAGCTACTGTCCGTTACTATCTTTCAGGTACTCTTGGAACACCACTTAAGCTTCTGGGGCACTAGTCAAATATTTAAATTATATACCAGGGAAACTATCTACAACTTAAAAAAACCCTTATAATTATATTATAGGCTTATCCAGACACTGTTTACAGTATCAAATTATATGCTTTTTAAAAGAAAAATAGCAAAATACATGAAGATAGAAACATTCAGGAACAGAGTACCTAAGCATCATGTGAAAGTTCTTATGTAGTGAGAAGGAACCAACAGGTGGGCAAAATGGGTTATAATTCCCAACTCACATGCCTAAAATTGTAACTCACCAAGTTATGGCTCTCTACCCATGTAGACATGATCCAGAAACACAGAACTACAAATACTAATCTTTTAGAGATTGTTCTAACAGAGAAAATTTCACTCCAAATACAAACTGTTTTAAAAAATGTTCAGAATCAAAGGAAGTAATCAGCTTATCTCACTGAAACATGTGCCATATACCTATATAAATTCTATTTATTTTAAATAGTAGCTAAATAAAAATTATGCCCCCAAAAGACTTATATATGTGCTTAACTATATTCCGTGTGAGTCAGTGAAGTCAATAGGATTACTCAGAGTGTATAAAGTTAAGCATGTGCATAAATTCTGTAGGATTAGCACCCAGGAGAGGTTTATTTAAAAATATGCAAAGTGTACTCACCTCTTCCTTCTCTCTTCATCCTTTAAAACCTCATAGATAGCCACCAACTAAAATAAAAGCATTGCTTTTATTAAGAAAATGACTATGAAAAGGAAACAGTGAAAACACCATGCACAAAGCAATCAAATCTTAAAAACAGATTTTTTTCGTCTCTCATATTTCAGTCTGAGGTGATATTTGTCTCAAATATAGGTAAAAAATTTCCATCAGGAATGTGATTTTTAAGTTAATAGTGTCCCTTCAATAGGTCCAAAGGTACTCCAATTATAACAACACACAGCAAGTAGCCTTCATTTTGTGAAGTACATTGAACTGGTAAAGCTGAACTATGACAGGCATACCCTATTGCTCTGTTAAATGTCAAGATTCAGAAGGGAAAATGCTCAAGACTTAAGATAATTATTTTACTGATATCTACATTAAATGACTTATAATGAAGACTGATGAGAAGATTTTTCCCAACTTCTATTAAAAGGCAAAGTGTACGCTTACAAACAGACTTTCCCTTTTAACAGAAGTTTGTATGTATGCTTTTATACAGAGAGAAAAGAATAAAACATTTGTTTTCGTTAACAGGAATACATCTAAATATTTTAAAATACTTATAAATCAAATGTATTCAAATACTCGAATACTATCTGAGTTACTGAACTAGCTTCAGAACATTTTATATGACCTTTGTCCAACACTAAATCCAACTAATACAGGAATAATTTTGTCCTGTTTGAAATTATTACTAATAATTTCAAAATATTACTTTGCTGTCAAAACTGTATTTATTCTTGATGTTAATAAGTAAAGTTATGTCAAACTTTCTGATCTTATTCACCCCTTTCCCCCCCAAAAAAAGTATATTATAGTATGTCACTTACTTGTCTAAACTGGGTTTCTGCATTTTCATCTTTGTTCTTGTCTGGGTGTAAAGTTAGTGAAAGCTTGCGATATGCTTTCCTAATGTCTGCAGATGAAGCATCCTGCAAAAACACAAAGCAAACTTTGTCAGAAACAAATTCCCAGAACCTTGTTAAGATCTGAGAAGACAGCCAACCAAATGCAGGACCTGAGGCAATGTAATTTGAGCAATCAGTCTAACAACCAAGCTATGCAGCTAGCCTGACCCACATGACTGAACAATCATTCACTCTAATTCAGCTCTCGTCTTAACTTCTTTCATTACCATACATTCATTACAACAAGTTAGTATTTGCCAAAACTTTCAAACACTTGCTTTCTTAAAATTAACTAGTAAAACTTCTGCACTAATTTAGAGATCAAAAAGACAAATTAAAAATTAATACATCTGTGTATCTTCAAGAAAGTCACCATTCTTTCACAAGCTAAATTTCTAAATCTCAAGCCTTAACATATGTTGCTCCCTTAATATTATTTACTCTAATTCTCTGCTTATAGGATTTTCATGCAAACTCAATTTCAGTATGTCTAAAGAAATGTATTTTCTGAAGTAGGTTCAGCTTATTTTTAATTTAAAACTACCATGACTAGTAGTTGCAAGATAAGATAAGACAAATCTTTGTGCTTTCAATTTGGTTTTTACTTTTCTCACGTTTGTGACTGATGTACTATAAAACAAAATATCAAATTAATTGCACATATACAACCGTTTACTGTGTAACTACTTAAATATAACTAAGTTACTGGGATGATACAGATCACCCAGAGCAGAGGGATTTTATGAGGTTATATCTATTACTTACTAAAAAATCCACATCAAAGTTATCATGCATGCTATAAACCAGGAATTTGTATTTAATGGGAAACATCTCCATGGCAATATATCAGGATGGAGTATGAACGCCCAAATCTAAAGACTACAACCTAAACAGACCAAGACGTCTCTATTGTCAAAACATGCTGAGGTAAAATAAAAGTCTAATGAAATTTTTAAAAAGTTTTAGGATTTCTTCTCTAAGATATATTTTAAGATGATTATCAACAGAGACTGAGTAAAAAACAAACAAATCCCTATAACCGAACAGCTGTTAAAGGAACAAAACTGAAATAAGACAATTAAAGCAACTACAAACCATTATTTTCATTACAAATTTTTCAGGTTTATAGCACCAAGCTATAACTCTGTTTAAAAGTTTTAGCCCAGAAGTGAATATTTTTGTAATATATAGAGAGTCTTGTGTGCGTAGGTGGTAAGGGGTTTGATAGGGAGTTTAGTTATGGAATGGTAATTTTATTTTAAGATACAATATTGTTATCCTATAACTCAAACACAGATCTCTGCAAGCTATTCTCCTGTACATAGCAATTGTTTAGAGTCAGGACCATTTAAAGGAAAATAAAAAGTGTTTTCTTTAAAAAAAAATCTCCGTGTATATGCACATTTTATTTTCAGCTAACACTCCTAAGGGTGCACAGTCACAAGCAGAATTCTGTATGATGACTGATGGCTTGCTTCAACCACACCAAAGACAGTGGAAGTTTTTACATATAGCCATGTTGTAAAGTTTTATATTTTTTTTTGGATGTGAAGAATGGAGGGAAGAGGAACTGTGACTAAATGTTAGCGTTCCAAATACATTACATTGCACACAGAAAAATTAAGTTTTCAAACTGGAAATTTAATAGAGATATATAAGAAATGGGGGAAGAAAATGTGCAACAAAAAGGTACTTTAAAAAAAATCAGGGACTTGGACAATGACAAGATCAAAGGAATAGTACCTCCAGATTGTAAGGCCTGCAGTTTACCCTGATCCCCTTTTCCTCCCAGCTTAATCTACTGTTGTACTTCATCTGTATCAAGATTTGCATTTAATTTTATTGGTGACCCTTAACTAAGTGTTGCTTCTCTAAGGGTCTGACAAGAACATTTTAAGGAGTTGTTGGAAGAATACTGTCAGAGTCAACTCCTTCAGATCTAAAAGCAGACTAAAAGAAATTTGTAGCATTTTTTTTTTTGGTTGGAAGGAAAATTTAAAATGAATTACCCTTCTCCCAAAATAAAGCCTCTTATTTGTGTAAGATTTTACGTCTAATGGTTGTTCTCATTCTCGCTCATGTTACAGTAGTATATTTTGAGAGTTCTCGGGTTAGATCTCTTCTATTCCCATAATTTCTGTTTCTTAGAATTAAACAGCAGAGAAAGGAAAAAGAATGATTAGAAACAGTAAAACAAGTTTATTCTTAAATCTAAGTAAAACTGTGGAGCAATATAAATACAAAATTAAGTATGAAATAAAAGTTTACTTATTTACACCCAACACATACTATGGTAGGTACTGGAAGTAATTTACAGACTATTTTATTTACCACCACCTATTGCTCCAATTAGACATCTCATCAACAGACTGGGCTTGTCCTCACTACAAAATGTATTTGAATATTGTTGAAGAGAATTGAGTTAGCACATACGTTGCTGATCGTGGCTTTGCACTAAGTAAAACCAGGCCAAATTGTGTTCAGCATGTCAGCTAATCATGATTAAACCTTCATTGGGGGGGGGGGAGGAGAAGAGTGGGGGAGAGGAGTAGATCAGGGATAAACCACATTCAACATCATGCCATGTTTAGCTGACAAGAATGAACACAATTTGTCCTGGTCTATACTAATCTGAAAGTAACCATCAGTATGTCAGCTAACTCAATTTGTACAATGTTTTTAAACACAATGAAATTATGTAGCTCCTTGAGACTTTGTTCACTAAAAAGACAGCCTTTAGGTAATGTTGGGCACCTTGAGAAAAGGTTCCAGATCTTTTTAGGGTCTGTCTTCAGCGGCCTGAAAAGTGTGAAGAACAACTATTGGAGATATACTTATCTCATAGAACTGGAAGGGACCCCGAAAGGTCATTGAGTCCAGCCCCCTTGCCTTCACTAGCAGGACCAAGTACTGATTTTGCCCCAGATCCCTAAGTGGCCCCCCTCAAGGATTGAACTCACAACCCTGGGATTAGCTGGCCAATGCTCAAACCACTGAGCTATCCCTCCCCTTCTATTGCTTACTAAGGCATGAGCCTTCTCTTCTATAGAACATGTTGGGTCTTTATCCTCAGCCTAGGTGTGTTACACGTAATGACCCAACAAACTGTTCTGAAACAATTACAGAAAGCCATCTACCTTGCCACAGTACCCAAAAGTCCTGTTTGCATTTACATGGGATGGTTAACCAAAACCAATTCCAGGCAATGTACTGAACTGTGGGAGCAGGAGGGAAATATACTTCTATAGTCAGACCCCAGCAGCATCTCTACCGGCTGCTTTAATAACCTTTTATTTAACAGCTCCACTTACTGCTAGCTGCCTCTCAGCCTCATCTCCTGTAGCCTCCTGCAATGAGACTCCAGTGGAAGCTGAGGAACAGACAGCACTAAGAGTGTGCTCTATGCGGACAAAAGAATTAAGTAGAGGAGTCCCAAGACAGCCATTTGACAATAGAAGGAAGTCTGGGCAACCACATTTTCAAGAAATTTTTTAAGTGGTGGCTCTGGGGACTTCAAGGAGGGCTTCACTGGATTCTCTCTCTTGCTTTTAAGAAAACAATTCCAATTACCTAAAATGCACATGTCCAATAGCAGAGGAGCCTGGCAGTGCTCCAGACCAGTGGTTTTCAACCAGGGGCACACAGAGGACTTCCAGGGGGAACTCAATTCATCTAGATCAGTGTTTCTCGACCTGGGGTTTGTGATCCCGGGGGAGTCGCAGATGGGTTTATAGGGTTCGCAAGTGCAGAGCCAGCTTTAGAGGTGGCAAGCAGGGCAACTGCCTGGGGCCTTATGCCACAGGTCGCCCTGGGAAGCTAAGTTACATGCTTCAAGTCCAGGCGGTGGGGCTCAGGCTTCAGACAAGACTCAAGTGAAAAACAGGCTCAAGTATTACATTGAAATGTAAGTACAATATTTATATTCTAATAGACATATTTTATAATTATATGGTAAAAATGAGAAAGCAAGCACTTTTTCAGTAATAGCGGTGCTGTGACACTTCTGTATTTTTATGTCTGATTTTGTAAGCAAGTAGTTTTGGGGTACGCAAGACAGATCAGACCCCTGAAAGGAGTGCAGTAGTCTGGAAAGGTTGAAAACCACTGCCCCAACCAATTAATTAGAGTTGTCCGTGACACACTGTTTCATGTTGGCAACTATACTTTGTCGCTGACTGAACCAGTGTAGTCTGTCATTTGTCTTCCTCATGTGGGTATGAAGTCACCAGCATAGCACCAGCTCAGCCAGACCTCCTAAATTCAAGGGACTAGTAATCCTATAATGAAGCGCCTCATGCTTCAGAGCAAACACTGTACTAGGATACTTTCAGCATCAGGCATCCCATGGAGCATATATAACTGGTTGTGGCAAGAGGAAGCCTTACTAGTATAAAATTCCCATTCCTATCTCAATTAGCTAAAGCACACACTTTACTGCCAGCATCCACTTCTGTGAGACAGCAAAAATCTCATGCTAGTTGCCCTCATATTTTTGCTTAGTCTTTGCACTAATGAAATCCAGCACAGTGTGAGCTAGGCTGATATGGTGGGACTCATCAAGTTCTGGGTTGACAAATCAATTCTGGGCTCTGCTATAATCTTGGATACCAATGAAGCTGCTCACACATGATTTTTCAATCACTTTAAAATTTCACCAATTGGAACAGAAAGTCGGCCAAAGTCCTTGAAGAAATTTATGTCCAAGTTTTATATTTGAGTTGTTTTTGCTGTAGTCTTGTCTCAAATAAAATTATATCCTACCACTAGATTATTATTTAAATTGCTGCAGAAATTTTTCTTACTTTTTTTTTAAGTGTTGATTTGGGAAAACACCAAGCACTGAAAATCTCAGTTAAAAAAAAATGAACATTTTATAATCTGAAGATGTGAAAACGGCAATGAGAGTGGTTTGTAACAGAAATATTTTTTTATTAAAGTTCAAAAGTTTTCAGTTTTGCAAAGTGAAAACTAATGTTTCAATTAATTCTACTAATAAGCCAGAATGCAAAGTACCTAATGCTTTA